TTTTGGAACCCTAGTTCATATGCACCGCCGTGTTGTTCATATGCACGGCCGTGTTTCGTACACAGAAGCAAAAAATTCAAAGGCAAAGCATAGGGGGAGGAATTAGTACCAAAACACATCAAATATAATAGTTAAAGAGAATAAACACAAACCTGGATGTGAATGCAGTCCAAAATTATAGAATGGGAGCAGAAATGAGAAGTGTGCAAAAGTTTTTTGTTGAGGGGAGAAAGGGTGTGCACTAACTGTGTACCCCCTCCCCCTCTTATTCTGTCAAAATTCGCATATATGCATGGCCGTGCCTCCGTGCATGTAGGAGGCACTGTCGTGCTTATCTAATGAAAGCACGCCCAAAACAATTCTTCTATCATGGGCGTGTTTGGGTTAAGCACAGGCGTGCATGTGTCGTTTTCCCACTTCATTGTAAATAATTGAAAACTTAAAATAAAATAGAATAAAATAAAAATAAACTAATAAAGAAACATAACGCAGGGTGCCTCCTGGAAGCGCTTGTTTAATGTCGCGAGCCTGACATCGTGCCTGTGTTAATCAAGTATTATCGTGTGACCAGGAGGGGTCACATTCTCTATATATAGCTTCTCTCTCAGTCCATTGATACGGAAAGGTTCTTCTCCATGCTTTGACACTTCTAGAACTCCATATGGGAGAACTTTGACCACAGTGTAGGGGCCATACCATCTGGATTTCAGTTTTCTAGGAAATAGTCGCAACCGAGAGTTGTAGATCAAAATTGTAGATCAAAATCCTATCTCCTGCCTAGAAACTCCTATGATAAATGTGTTTATCATGCCACTTCTTAGTGCGCTCTTTGTATAACTTGGCATTTTCAAATGCCTCAAAATGTAACTCATCCAATTCATTGAGCTGCAACAATCTCTTCTCACCTGTGACCTGCGAATCAAAGTTTAAGAACTTCAAGGCCCAGTAGGCCTTGTGTTCAAGCTCAATGGGTAAGTGACATGCTTTACCAAAAACCAAACTATAAGGAGACATACCAATAGGGGTTTTGAAAGTAGTGCAATAAGCCCAAAGTGCATCATCCAATTTCAAAGACCAATCTTTCCTGGAGTTGTTAACAGTGAGCTCTAAAATTCTTTTCAATTCCTTATTAGATATCTCAACTTGCCCACTAGTTTGAGGATGATAAGGAGTGGCTGAGGAAACGATATTTGGCTATTCGTCATGCAAAAGATTGTCGTTAATCCTCATCAAATATGCAAAGAAATGAATGCAATACTAGGGTGTTATCCTAGGTCGTCTCCAAGGAATTTTTGGTTGGGAACATACATCAAACAAGTGTAAACATGTATTTTAAAGCAAGTAAATTGGGGGGAGGTTTGTCAATTTCCGAATTTTAATCAAGAACGAAATGTAAATTTAATGAAATTCAATCAATTAAAATGAGTAATCCCTAGTCAAGCAATGAGTTCCATCATTATTCTTTCAAATGATTCAATAATCCCCTTTCTTCCCCTTGAATTAAGTTAATCTAACAAGCGAAGACTAACTTTAACATCCCAATTAAAATTAAGCATCTTAATGGGCTCCAATCTCTATCCCTAAGATTAAGCAACCTCAAGGATTAATCAAAATTAAGCAATTTTGATTTAGAATTTTGTTAGGTAAATTAGGGTTCATTAAGCAATGTTCCCTTCATGCAAATTCCATTTCATTCAGAGATTGGGGTTAATAAATTCAAGGAAAGAAAGATTTGTATTGCAATTAATCCCAAGAATTCAAGATTCATGTGCATTGACTAGGAATTACAAGAAAGTTTAGCCCTCCATATGGATGGGCTTCACAAATGAGAGAAAGAAATGCAAGAACGTAAACATCATTAATGTAAATTCAACAAAAATCAAAAGAGAAATTGGAAATTAAAACCTATAGAGGACCCTTGGCTGTCACCCAAGACTCCAATGTCGTAAGAAATTATCCCAATTTGGCAAAGAAAAATTGTGTAAAATGTCAAAAGTCCCGTACCCTAATTCCTAAAATCTATTTATAGTGGATGACATGTCACCAAAGTGTCCACTTTACCCTTTGAAAGTGTTCACTTTGGGCCTTGAAAGTGTCCACGCGCAGGATGGAAGGGTTGCCACTTCTCTGGAGTTGCCACTATTTGTGCTGAACGTGGCTACTTTGGTGCGCGTGGCTACTATGAGAGCCAATAGTGGCCATGCGCAGGAATGCTTTAAAATTAGCCTCCTGGAGCTTCTGGAGTTGCCACTTTTGGGCTTGATAGTAGCTACTTTGGTGCGCGTGGCTACTATGAGAGCCAATAGTGGCCACGCGCAGGAATGCTTCAAAATTAGCGTCCCTAGAGTTTCTGGAGTTGCCACTTTTGGGCTTGATAGTAGCTACTTTGGTGCCTTTAATGGGCAGACTTGCTGTAGTTGCCATTTTTGCTTCTAAAAGTGGCTACTTTGGGGGCAACTTTCATCCAAGGGCCAAGATTTCTCAAAATTAACTTGGGGACTCTGCAAAATTATTAAGATAATTAAAATTGCAATCTATATCTATGTAATTAAATGCAAATTAACCAAAAATTAATAAATCTATGATATTTACTCAAAATGTGATTTCTATATTATTTGCACTATCTAAGTCCATTTTTTCTATCAAGGAGCACCAAAAAGACAAGTAAAAATATAATAAAAAGTGGATTCATCAGTGGCCACCTTATGGGCGACACCATATTTTGTTAAAAGAGCTTCAAATTGTTTATTACAAAAATGAGAGACACCATCACTAATAATAGCCCTAGGGGTTCCAAATCGAGTGAAAATATTTTTCTTTAAAAATTTAATCACAACTCTAGTATTATTGGTGGGTAATGCTATAGCTTCTACCCATTTAGAAACATAATCAACAGCTACTAATATATATTCATTATGCATGGATTTGGGGAAAGGCCCCATGAAGTCTATGCCCCAGACATCAAATAATTCACAAATCAAGATATTACTAAGAGGCATTTCATGTTTCCTAGATATATTTCCACTTCTTTGACACCTATCACATGTCTTAACATATAAATGAGCATCTTTAAACAAAGTAGGCCAATAAAAACCACACTGCAAGACCTTATGAGCGGTTTTCGACAGGCCACAATGTCCTCCCACCTCCCTAGAATGGCAATGATTAAGAATTTCATTAACCTCACTCTCTAAAACGCACCTCTTAATCCTATTGTCCCCACAAATCTTAAAAAGATAATGTTCATCCCAAATATAATGCTTCACATCAGACCAAAACTTTCTAAGCCTATGCTTGTCAAGTAGTTTAGGAGTTACATTACCTGCCAGATAATTTACAAAATCTGCATACCAAGGTGCCTTAGAGATTGCGAGGAGCCTCTCATCAGGAAAAGAATCCTTGATCTCCTTCACTATGGGTTCCCTCATTGAAGCATCCAGTCGAGACAAATGATCTGCTACGACATTCTCACTCCCTTTCTTGTCTCTAATTTCTACATCAAACTCCTGGAGAAGAAGAATCCATCGTATAATCCTTGGTTTAGCATCCTGTTTTGACAACAAATACTTGATGGCAAAATGGTCAATAAAGACAACAACTCTGGACATTATCAAATAAGAATGGAATTTATCAAATGCAAAGATAACAGGAAGTAATTCCTTCTCTGTAACGGTGTAATTACGCTGAGCGTCATCCAAGGTTTTACTTGCATAGTAAATAGCCTGAAACACCTTATCTCGCCTTTGCGCTAGAACTGCTCCCATAGCTGCATCACTAGCATCACACATTAGCTTAAAAGGTAAAGACCAGTCAGGAGCTACAATCATAGGAGTAATCGTTAATTTCTCTTTTAATTTCATGAAGGCAGATAAACATATTTCATCAAATTTAAATTCTATATCTTTAGCCAACAATTCAGAAAGAGGTTTTGCTATTTTTGAGAAGTTTTGTATGAACCTCCTATAGAACCTAGCATGCCTTAGAAAACTTTTGACTGCCTTAACACTTGTAAGGGGAGGAAGTTTAGAAATAACCTCAATATTAGCAAGGTCTACTTCAATACCTTTTCTTGACACCTTGTGCCCCAAAACAATGTATTCATCCACCATGAACTGGCACTTTTCCCAATTTAAAATCAAATTGGCCTTCTTGCATCTCTATAAAATTAAATTCAAATTATGTACACAACTGTCAAATGTGGTGCCATATACAGAAAAATCATCCATAAAAATCTCAATACAATGACCCAACAAATTTGAAAATAAAGCCATCATACACCTTTGAAAGGTAGCAGGGGCATTACATAATCCAAATGGCATTCGTTTATATGCAAATGTACCATAGGGGCATGTAAAAGTAGTTTTTTCTTGATCTTCAAGAGCCACGGGTATTTGCATATAACCAGAATAGCCATCTAAACAACAGTAATATTCATGCCCTGCTAACTTCTCTAACATCTGATCAATAAAGGGTAACGGGAAGTGATCCTTCCTGGTGGCTTCATTAAGCTTTCGGTAGTCAATACACATCCTCCATCCGGTTACCTTTCTGATGGCTATGAGCTCCTGTTGCTCATTCTGCATAACAGTAGTCCCTCCTTTCTTCGGTACAACCTGCACAGGACTTACCCAAGGGCTATCGAAGATTGGGAATATGATATCAGCATCCAATAACTTAATTACCTCTTTTTTTACTACTTCTTTCAGATTAGGATTCAATTGCCTTTGGGGTTGTACTTTTGGTTTAAACTCCTCTTCCAGGTGAATTCTATGAGTGCATATGGAAGGACTGATGCCCTTAATGTCATTGATGCTCCACCCGAAAGTCTCCTTGTTCTCTCTTAATACTCTTAGAAGCTTTTCCTCCATGCTACCTGTCAAATTCGCAGAAATAATTACAGGTAAGTGAGATGGAGGGTGTAAAAAAGCATATTTAAGATTCGAAGGAAGAGGCTTGAGTTCTAGTTCAGGAGGTTTTTCGACTGATGGCTTGGCTCTTTTCTAGGAGTGTTCTCCTAAATCTTCAAATATCCTTTGTTCGAACCATCTTCTAGGTACCCCATTGTTCAATGCTAAGATCTCATCTATTATTTCTTCAGTGTCGTGCAAATCCCTCCTTTCTAATGTAAGTATTCTCTCCAATACATCTTTCATTAATCCATCTTGTACCTGTGGTACATTCAGAGAGAGGGAGGTAACATCTATAGTTGACACAAAATTACAAGAATCAAAAGTGGAGGGATGCTTAAGTGAATTAAAAACTTTAAATACTACTTCCTCTTCGTTCAATCTTAATGTAAGCTTCCCCTGCTGAACATCTATTATCGTTCTTCCTGTAGCTAGGAAAGGCCTTCCTAGTATGATGGGTACTTCGTCATCTTCTTCCATGTCAAGGACAATGAAATCTGCAGGGAATATAAACTTATCCACCTTGACCAGGACATCCTCCACTATACTCCTAGGATAAGTTGTCGAGCGATCAGCAAGCTGCAGAGAAATTGAGGTTGGCTTGGGTTCCTGCATACCCAATCTTCTAAACACAAAAAATGGCATTAGATTAATACTAGCACCTAGATCACAGAGTGCTTTATCAAAATAAGAATTGCCTATTGTGCATGGAATCGTAAAACTCCCTGGATCCTTGAACTTAGGTGGCAGCTTTCTTAACAATATTGCTGAGCACTCCTCATTCAATCTGACTGTCTCGAATTCTTCTAATTTCTTTTTGTTGCTTAGCATCTCCTTGAGGAATTTGGCATATTTAGGCATCTGTGAAATGGCTTCAACAAAAGGGATATTGATGTGGAGTTTTCTGAGAATCCCAAGAAATTTATTAAACTGAGGGTCTCTCTAGGTAGCCATCAACCGTTGTGGAAATGGAACTTTCGGCCTTGGCATCACTAATGCATCATCCTTTGCTTCTTTTTTCGTATCTGATTGGCATGCATGGCCTTGCTCATCATCAAGCACGGTTGTTCTCTCTGTAAGCATGGCCTTGCTTGGGTTAAGCACGGGCGTGCATTCAGTGTCAGCATGGTCGTGCTGTTCCAAGCACGACCATTCTTGTTGAGCCAACATGGGCGTGCAGGGTGATGCAAGGGCGTGCTGATCAACAAGCACGGGCGTGCATGGCTTATGTGGTTGCATTTCACTTAAGTTTTTTTCCACTTCTTAAAGTAATTGCTTTAGCTTGTTCCCTAGGATTCGGCTCTGGTTGGGATGGCAATGTTCCTAGTGCTCTTTGACTGAGAAGACTTGTGATTTGCTCCAACTGGGATTCAAGCTTTGAAGATTGAGTCCTCATCTCAGCTCTGATTTTTGCAAACCTCTTATCTTCCCTCTCAATCTGTTGTTCCATCTGTGCCTCCAGCTTTGCTATTCTCTTGTCAGAGTTATGCACGTATTGTATCATCTGTTCTTGAAAATTGGATTGGAATCTTGGAGCTTCTCTTCTTTCTAGCTTCTCTCCTTGATTTTGCACATGAGGAGGTCGATAGGGCGCATTCTGATTTCCCTGGCAACTTTCCCAAGGATTTGTGTTACCATTGCGCCATCCTGAATTATAATTATTACCCATAAAATTCACCTCCTCCTGATCACACTTTGTATTATGAGCCGACTTTGTGGGTTGATCTTGTGCTTTCATCAAGCACTCCAGTTGCTTTGTGAGAATTGCCATTTGGGTTAACAGTGGGTTATTACTCTTTGCTTGATAGACTGGCGCAGCTTCTTTTCTCTTGAAGTTGTAAGTGTCCGTTGTGTGCCCACTGAAAGCTGGCAGATGCCATTTCATCTATCAATCTGTATGTGTCATCTAGGTCTTTCCTTATAAGAGATTCTCCTACGGCGGCATCAATCGTGGCCCTATTATGGATGGATGGGCCACTGTAAAAGATCTGTAACTGCCTCCAAGTTGGAAAGTCATGGTGCAGGCATATTCTCAATAATTCCCTGAATCGGTCCCATGCCTCGAACAATGATTCTATCTCATTCTGCTGGAAGCAACATATTTCTGTCATCAACTTGGACGATCTTGATGAAGGAAAGTACTTTCCTAAGATTTGTTGAATGAGATCCTCCCAAGTTGTGATGGAATTGGCTGGGAGTGAGGAAAACCATGCATTCACTCTTTCGGACACTGAAAACGGAAACAGGCGAAGTCGAATGGCATCGTTGGAGACTCCATTGTATTTTATGGTGTCAGTCAATCGGAGGAACTTTGTCAGATGCAGATTGGGGTCTTCGTTAGGCAAGCCCCCAAATTGTATGGAATTCTGAACCATGGTGATGAGTGCTGGTTTAAACTCAAAATTATTTGCCTCCACATTAGGTGCCGCAATACTTCCAAGAGTGCCTCTGGCATTGGGCATCATGTAATCTTGGATCGATCTCCTTCCCTCTGCCATTCTTTGCTCTCTCACTTCTTTTCTTTGTCTACGAACTGTCCTTTCAATTTCTGGATCAAACAAATAAGCTATAGAACACTTAGAACGAGTGAGCATACATCAAGAGTAATGATAAAAAAAAATGAGAATGAAATACATATGAAAATTATAAAAAAATAAAAAAAATTAACAATAAATAAAACAAGACTAAAATAAAGTAAAACACAGATTGCTCAAATCAATTAAATTTTAGATTTTCTTAATATTGAAAAAGCAATCCCCCGGCAACGGCGCCAAAAACTTGTTCAGAGGGCAAGTGTACCCATTGAGAAGTAATAAAGGGTTTTCAACTAAGTTCCCAAATTATCGTCCCATAAGGATTGTTTATCAATTACTAAGAGTTTTCCTAATTTAATTGTTTGAGCTTCAAGGATACAGAATTAATTTAAAACCAAGAATTTATAAAATCAATTGTATAAACTAAGAGCAAGAAACACAAAGCACGTTTTGGTTAAACTTATCAGAGAGGAACCTAGGGCATATGGGTGTTCTCATTCAATCCTTTATGATATTCTTCTATTTAGATCTAAATCTGATTTCCTAGTAATTACTAATCATTCATACTAATACTATTAATACTCAATTGTCATGCAGTATTAATATTTTTTCCCTAAGTTAATATCCCCAATGATCATGCAAGTTATTAATTTAGAAAAAGTCTAAGGAGCCTATGAATTTGTTAATTTAATAACGATTAGAAGAGAAAGATTGGTTTGGTCTACCTAATCTTTCCTCTCATTTTATCCTATAGATCTATTAATTACCCGAGGTATGATCGCCTGAGAATTTAATTAATTGGGTTGAAGAATTAGAAATGATAAGATAAATCCTAATCACAAAATGGAAATCCTATTTAGATTCATATATCACAATCCCACAAAATCATAAACGATAAATCCCATAGCCCTAGCTATGGATTTAGCTACTCATGTAGTAAGAAAGAACTAAAACAATCATTAACATATCCATAATGAAGCAGTAAAACAAACTAGAATAAGAATTGAATCTTCAGTCTTCAAGTATGGTCACTTGAAGCTCTAAGTTCTGCCAAGTGTGTGCCAACGATCCTACGAGAAGGGTGGAAGTGATCCAAAATCACGAAGAAAAGGTTTATGTCAATCTGTACTCTCAAAAAGGTCTCCCTCACGATGCTTCCTCTCCTCTATTTATAGAATTTTAACTCCTTTAAACTTGGGAAGTTTGGCAAACGCAAACAAGCACGGCCGTGCATGATGGTGCAGCACGGCCGTGCATACTATCGAAGCACCCCCGTGCTTCACTGGGCGTGCTTGTTGTTGTGAGGATTTGAAGCCCATCCATTTAGGCCCAAAATGCACCCAAAATGTACTCGTGGTTTCTTTATCTCAAACTGCGCAATTAACAACTAAATTAGTGTAAAACCCAATTCAAATAAATGTCAAATATGAATAAATGGACTATAAAAGAGGGCCTAATTACATACTTATCAATTAGCCTTGGCTGTCACCCAAGGATCCTAAGCTCTGTAAAATGCTCCAAAAGTGGCAAAAGAATCTAAAGAAATGTCAAAAGCTTCGTACCCTAATTTCTCAAATTCTATTTATAGTGCAGAAATTTTCACCCAAAGTGACTACTATGGTTTCATAGTGATAACGCGTAGCGTTCCATAGTGTTTACACGCACTCCATAATGATTAGGTGCGAAATCTGTGATTTGGGCCTCTCTGGAGTTGTCACTTTGGCTTCATAGTGATAACGCGCAACGCCCCAAAGTGATTACTCTCACTCTATAGTGTTTACGCGCAGGTCCTGTGTTTTTGCCCTCTCTGGAGTTGACACTTTGGCATCAGAGTGATAACTTTGGCTGCTCCAGAGTGTCTACTATGGTTCCATAGTACCTACACGCAAGTCTTGTACTTTTTGGCCTCTCTCGAGTTGTCACTATGGATTCATAGTGATTACTTTGGTGTGCCCTTCTAGAATTAGCTTGTTGTAGTGTTCACTATGGACTCTAAAGTGATCACTTTCACCTCAAACTTTCTTAAATGCTAAAAATCCACGGAAAAAGTCTAGGACCTCTTGCACAATTATTCAAATGATCAAAATTGCAAACTATATCTATGCAAATCAATGTAATTTAACCAAAAATTAAGAAATCTATGATAAATTGACCAAAATGATATTTTTATGTTATTTACAACCCTAAGTTTACTTTTTCTATTAAGAAACATTAAAATAACAAGTAAAAATCCAATAAAATGTGGATTCATCAGTGGTCTATGGAAAAGCTTGTCATTTGTCAGTTGAGGTGGAACACAAGGCATACTGGGCAGTGAAGACTTGTAATATCCATTATGACTTAGTTAGAGAGCAGAGGAAGTTGCAACTGCAAGAGTTGGAGGAGCTACGTCTTGAGGCTTATGAGAACTCTAGAATTTACAAAGAAAAGACCAAGAGGTACCATGACAAAATGATCTCAAGAAAATAATTCTACATTGGTCAAAAGGTCCTTTTGTTCAATTCTTGTTTGAAACTTATGTCTGGAAAGCTCAAATCAAAGTGGCTTGGACCCTTCACTGTTACAAAGGTATTTTCCCATGGTGCAATGGAAATCATAAGTGAGTCCACTAGAAAAAGCTTTATAGTGAATGGACACCGGTTGAAGCCATTCTTGCAAAATTCAGCTACCTTGGAAGAAGTTGAGGAGATTGACTTGCAATCACTATGCACCAACCTTCATCCCAACCCTTGGCCTGCATAACTCACTTTATACGTCAAGCTAGTGACGTTAAAGAAGCGTTGTCTGAGAGGCAACTCACAAGTTGATTAAGAATTTTTTGTTGTTCTTTACATTCAATAAGCATTTTCATAATTGAGTTGTGATATGTATGATGAATTTGACATGATTTTTCTGCATATGCTCAAATTTTTATAGTCAAAAATTGTAAATCCTGAGCTTGATCCATGCATAAATCAAGAGAAGTTCAAGTGTACAGAGACATGGTCACCCCTGCCACACAACAATGACCCTTTGGGGAAGAAGTTTCAATTTCAACCATTAAAAGTGACCACTTTCATTTCATAGTAGTCACTTTCAGCTAAGGTAAGTGATTCCACCCTCTGTAGTTCTCACTTTGCTTTCATAGTAATCACTTCCAAAGGCCTTTGGGCTCATGAGTCTCTATAGTAGTTACTTTCATCTCATAGTAACCACGCGCAGGGACACTGGAAATTAAGGGGGTTCTTGTAGTTGCCACTTTCATTCCATAGTGGACACTACAAAGACACCTCTTGGGCATAAATGCTGCACATAGCTACTCTCATTTCATAGTAGCTACGTCCAACA